TCGGGACACTCGTGTTCTCGGGACACTCGTGTTCTCGGGACACTCGTGTTCTCGGGACACTCGTGTTCTCGGGACACTCGTGTTCTCGGGACACTCGTGTTCTCGGGACACTCGTGTTCTCGGGACACTCGTGTTCTCGGGACACTCGTGTTCTCGGGACACTCGTGTTCTCGGGACACTCGTGTTCTCGGGACACTCGTGTTCTCGGGACAGAGTATTAAACGGAAATGAATCACATAACAATGCCATAGTCCCTTTCGACATTCGTGAGGCAGATTTGCAAGCCGTCTTTGCCCTCAGTCTACTTTTTAAGGCATTCACCCATGAGGAATTGCTATATGTCTTATAGCAATCAAAAGCTGACATTCTTGGCTTTCCAATGAAACAATTTGCAGATTGATAGCTGTTCTAGAAATTGAGTTCTGAACGATGAAACATGAGCTTGTCGTTTGTATTGATAATATCGATAAGCAAGTCTAGTCACTATCTAGAATTCCCGAGTGCGTAGTTTTGGTTTGGTTTAAGCTTCCGTTTCTTTCAATGCTAGTTATTTATTGATTTTTTGTTTTTCTTTATCTGCGAGTCCCGCGAAATAGTCGGCAGTTTTCAATTCACCAATCCAATAAAAAAAGGATTAAATTTCTAAAACTGATCAAAGTTACTAGAGTTCAAATGGCTAGAAAACTTTAGAAAATGATTGTCCAATGCTGAAATGAAAATTTTCGAAAAAAGAGAAAAGCTAGGTTCCACCGAGATTCGAACTCGGGTCGCAGGATTCAAAGTCCTGAGTGCTAACCGCTACACCATGGAACCACGGTTAGAGGGGGCTTTTTAAAGTGACTTGAAGCTTTGGAGGCTTTCCGTGGCTCTTCGGAGATGCTACAAATTCCAGGAAGGATTCAAAATCCAATAAAAAAAAGAGAAATTAATGAATTTTAAAATTCGAGGCATTTTGCTGTGTCAAAAATATTTTCAATCTTTCTATTACATTAATCCCATTTGTAGATTCAAATGCAAAATAGGCTCGTTAGATAAACAGAGAATTTGTTTGTTATGTTAAAGTATTCAATGTTCAATTATCCAATGAAAACTCCTTTCTAAATGAATTTTATTAAACAAAAACACAAAAAATGCTAGTTTAAAAATGGTTTTTTAATAATCGATGGGAACTTTCGTTCGGATGATGAAGTGATGAGAGAATGGAATGGGGAAAGAACGAGAAGAGATCACTTTCCTTTTTTGACCTAAAGATCCTGCCAGCTCTGGTTTGCCCGATTTCAAGAATCTCTTGAAGACGAACCACATGAGCAAATGGAGATTTGGATGACCGACCGACTACTAGCAGAGGATGATCGACTACTTTCAAACACAGAATCAGGAGTTCTTCGATAAGGGGATCCGCAATCTGAAGCAACTTTGGAGGGATTTTATAGATAACGATGGTGTTAATTTTTTTGGAAGAAATCGTTACCTAAAAGAATTTTGATTGAATTTAATGTTTGTAAAAAACCGAAATTTCTTTTGCATCAACCTAGTAAGGATTCAAAAAGTATCTAATATCTTAAATTTGAAACCAACTCACCCGTTGATTGGATCAACAACGAGATCAGCCGGCTTGTCGACTCCATTGTAGACAATCGTTTTACACAAAGTGAACTAAAAAGAAAGCTTTATTTTAGCTTGTACTTTTGAATCGATTAGAGCTATTCATTTTATTGAGTCACCGACATTTACTGTCAACTTTTTGCTAAAAACTCACCCGTTCATCAGCACACAAAATGATCAATCGTCCAGTTGTGTCGACGAGGTACCAATTGCGCGCAATCCAATCGAATTTTAGAAGTTTTACATCTAGCTTTGTATATGATTTATAACTTTATAAACTCTAAACTTTATGACTTTCTAAACTTACTTGACAATTGATAAGTGTTCGGCGTAACGGACAACGTCGTATTCCCGAGTTTACCATCTTTCATCGGCGCACACTCAAACACCGATTCATCGTCAATATCCACATTATCGGAAACGATGGTTCGCTAAAAATATCACAAATTTTCCAAAGTAATCTTTATTTTCTATTTAATAAATCTACAATACTCATTGAGCTCACGAAACACGCTCTTCCTTGGGCGATATCGATATCAAAGCATTAAGGTCCTTTTTGGTTTCAATTTTGGTTTCAATTTTCAATTCAATTCTTTAAAAGGCCAAAAATTTACCTTTTCAGTCATTTCTTGTAGTCGATCAAATTTCTAAGCTGACCAGTTCACCGTCTCGAAAGGATTCCCATACCATACAAATCCCCATACCATACAAAATTCTGTTAAACATTTTGCAAATGTGATAACCTAGAATTCTGGAAAGACACTTAACGAAAAACGGGGATATACCATCGGGGCTAACACTCCTTTTAGGTTTTAGTTTCCTAAAGGCGTTTTCAATGTCTAAGAGTGTTATGCTTGGTTGCTCTGGAAGCTTGGTTGCTCTGGAAGCTTGGTTGCTCTGGAAGCTTGGTTGCTCTGGAAGCTTGGTTGCTCTGGAAGCTTGGTTGCTCTGGAAGCTTGGTTGCTCTGGGAAACTTTTAGTAATAACTAGATTTGGTGGGTTTACGGCCCAATGGGACAATTACAAAGGTTGAATGAAAGAATTGAGCAAAAAGATCACAAATTTCTTTGGTTCAGTTATAAGTTTATTTAGTTTATTTGGGTTTACAAAAGCTTTGGGCAAGTTTTTATGTTCTTTAGACTTGGAATTCATATAACTGAAAAAATGCTAAGAATTTTGTGATCTAATGTCTTTCAATATTTTGCTCAAATTTCTTGCAAAAACGGGATAGTTTTACTTGGGCAACGTCATCTAAAGGATTCCCAAAAGAAGATGAGTTTAGGGAAATAGTTTAGCCTAAGTTTAGCCCTAGCAATGTGTGAAGGACATCTATTGAAATTATGAGGACAACTTTGCTCAATAGATTCTAAGAAGAGACTTGTGAAAATGTCATAATCCGTGTTTAGATTATTATTGGTGTCATAAAAAGATGTAGAATTTAGTATTGGATAAAAGGCTAACGCCGCCTTATCGAGATTTGCACAAAAATAAAAACACCTGGGCTTCTTGTTGATAGGGGCGGGCTGGTTGATCAAAATTTTGAGGCTGATGGCGCTATGATCGGCCCCAGGAAGAGGCGCGAGTTTCTTGACATCCCGAATTCGTCTCCCATCATTTGCTATCACGACATCTAAAGTAAAGAGAGAGCGCAAGAAAGTAGGAAAACGATTGAAAATATGTAAACCGTTAAGAAGCATAAAATCTCTAAGCATCAATGAAGGTCTGTGATACAAAGCGTATACGGGCATCGAATTTTTCCACGTGATTTTACAATTTAAATCGCCCAAGAGAATGTTGCCATTATATTCGTGAAAATGAAGAGCTAATAGGTTAAAAATAGACTCTGTGGCTGAAAATGAAATATCCGGGGTCTATAAATTAAGAACAGGCGGAAAGAATAGGGATACACGAAATCAACAATAATAATTTCGCAACCAAGGACAGATTTGCTAAGAATAGTATTGAACGGCAGGAAATTTTTAATTAAAAGCAATACCCCACCACCGTGACTCTTATAAGCACTATTTCTATCACAACGAATAATTTTATAGCTATTAGAGGGATTTAATAAAGAGGAGCAATGCTAATCATCTAACCAACTTTCAGTAATAGCTAATACGGGGTAAATTTCGGTTCTGGCAATAGCTTGACAAGTGGATAAACGATCATGCGACAAAGAAACGATACTATGGGCATTACTATAGAAAATTTCTTACTCTGGTCTTACTTTATTGGAAAATTTTGGGCCAAAGTAGGGGACATATCATGGTTAGCATCAATTCCTCGCGTCTTGACCGCGGGTTGAGAAGGCCATTCTTGATTCGATCACGTTCTGGTCTCCGCGATCACAATATTACCCGGGTTCCGTTCCTATTAAAAATTTTTCGTTTGACGACTTCAATTGATCTTTGTGTATTTGTTTGACTTTTCTTGGGTCGGCCTCTTTGTCGCTTTGGGGTTACTTGATTTGGCACCACAATTGAAGAAGTTGCTTGCATCAAGTTTTCACCAATATCTTCCCATCCTTCTTGAATCCCATCAGCCGAGTCCATTTCTGTTGGATTCATCATTTCCATGTTTGCAAACGTCGAGGAGCGGGTGAATCTTGTTGGATCAGAACGTCTAATTTGCATTTTTCTACACATCGGTGGCAGAAAAGTCCTGGGAAAATGACTAACGCTCTTCAGGAGATTTTATGTAACATGAGCTGACGAGAAAGTCAATTTTAGCGGGCGAGGCCGATCGAATGAGAAAACACCCATCCGGAAGCAATCAAGGATCGTCGCATCAAGCCCATAACTGATCAAAATCATTTCTACTATGTAACGATCCAAAGCTCCTCTGAATTCCGACGTTACTAACGGATGAATCGTGACTTCTGGTATGCCTTCAATCACCAGCATATGATCCAACTTCATTTCGCGAGCTAGTCTAATATCGCGATTGAAGGTAGGCGGCCATCTATCTGGAGGATGGAAAGGATGTGCGACGTTCAAAATCATTACTGGGTTGACATGCAGTAGGCTCGGTATCATCTTTGAGAAGGGTAGAGCGGCACAACTTCTTGGGGCTCTTCGGATCGGTAGATTTAGAAGTAGAGTTGCAGTGTCTCGCAACAACCTCAAACCGATAATGAATTAAATAGACCGATAATGAAATCAATAATGTGATAAAAAAACGTTGGCAATTTTTGAAGGGGATATTCTGAGCAACCTTTGAAGGAGATATTACGAAGGAAATGAAATAAAGGAGAAGATTTTATCAATGATTATTCTTAAGGCTTATTTCGCTACTCGATCGCAAAAGAAAATCAAGCGGGTCTCTGGCCAGTCACAAAAATCGTGCCAACGAAAGAAAAAAGTAAAGAAAAAAAAAGCACGATTTGTGCATAATTACACCGATTTTGGTGTAATTATGCTTAAATTTTCGATTTTAAAAGCAATGAAATGAACGACTAACGGAAAAGATTATTGGAAAAGAAAGCAATGAACGACTGTTGGAATATTTCAAAAATCCCATTCACATGAATTTCTTTCGGATGTTATTGTTTTAAACAAGCGGAATTCGGAAGAAACTTTTTTTTTTTTAAACTTTAAATTCCTAAATATTTGAGTTTACATAAACAACAAAAGATTTTATTATTTTATGAGTCCATTCTGACAAATTTTATTAGAATCGTAACTTTCATTCGAGTTTACAGAAAAATAAAATACACAACTTAAAATGGCACATGGCATATTTCCTCATCAGATCGTTTCAAAGAATCGTACAAAAATCGCCTTTCAATCATTGGCGATGTTACATTCGATTTTGCAATATGAATCTTCATAAACATCCCGTTGATACTCACTTTTTCCCCATTATTATTCCAAGAAATCTGAATTTGTTTTAGTCTGATTTTATAGTTTGTAATAACCAATATTCCTCGCACAACTGTAGCGGTATCATTGTATGGAGCTTTAGTGATGGTGGTTGCTCTAAAAATACTCAAACTGTTAAATGTTTCATGTTTCAAAAGATAAAGTCAAATTCAAACTATTAGGGTGGTGCAAAAGAAACTGCCGATTTGAAGGTAAATTTAAAAAAAAGATGGCGTTCGATGGTGACATGATCACAATGGAATATTTTCGCAAGATCTCGAGCAGATTGGCATGGATCGGCCTGAATAACGTCCCTCAGCTTGGCTTCGTTCACGAATTCTGGCCTCGAACCGTGCTCGTAATCTTCCAAAGTCTCGTCTCCCCCTCTCCCGTCTCCCTCGGAATCGTTGGAACCAAGTCTGACACTGCCTGAGAGACAAACTGCCATCTCCGAAAGCAGCACAGAGAGAACGATGCTATTCGGCAGCAGACTTTCCAATTTTGAAGTCAAACAGTAATGCTGCTCGTAGCACAAACTTTTGCTCGACCATGATCTAAATAAAAAATGTAAGCATTTTTAAATAAAATAAACAATAACCAAAAAATTCAAATGTCGAAATAAATAGCAAACAAATGTGCGAACAAAGCATAAAAAAAATAATGCCGTTAGCATCGCTCGTTTCTGATAAATGAGAGCTGATACCCATCGGCAGTTTCTTTTGCACCACCCTAATACAAACTCTTGATCATCGTTGAGACTCAAAAATTGATATGTCAGCGTTCCGTCGTTGACCGACTTTACCTCAATGTTGATATCGATAGGCCATGAGGCTAAAGGAGATTTTGGACTCAAAATTTTAAACAACAAACCGCAAGTGATCATATAATTGATGTCATTGTACTTTTGAGTAAGTGCTGCGTAGGAATTGATGAAAGCCGGTGAGCCGTAACCATTCGACGCCAACGACATTTGTCCGTCGCAAATTTTCTGCGCTCGTAAATTACTTGTGTACTCGAGGCAATCTAAAGCAAACGTCTAAATAACAGTGCTTTTTTTCCTCAAATATTAGATTGGCTCATAAGTCTTGGTAACAGTTTTGTTTAAAAAAAATTTCACAACCAAACAAGCAGTTTACTCGAAATACAGTTCAACGTAGTTCCTGTTATTTTGAATAATCTTTGCCCATTTTGTTGGAAGTTGGCGTCTTCCCTTCTCGTAGAAAATTTTTTGTTTCGAGTCGAAATATTTTTGAAGCTATTGGGTTGGTGAATTGAAAACTGCCGGACTTTGAACTAAAATTTATTCAACGTAAAACCACCAAATCATTTCAAATAATTTCCATTATTATTGACGACTTCTGCCCATTTTACAGGCAATTTGCGGATTCCTCTTTCGTAGTAGGATTTTGGTTTGTGTGTGAGACAAGTGTGAGACTCAAAATTGGAGGACTGGAGATGTCGAGATGTCCCAGTTTGAGTATTTGAGCACTTTCTTCAAAAGAAACCCATTTTGGTGTCAATAGAAAAGTTGTAGAGAATCGAAAATTAGGCTTATAGCCAAGTTTCCAAAAAGATACACCTAGTAGTTTCGCTTAAAATGCTAGTTTTGTTGCAAGTTTTGTGAAAATTCCGTAAATTTTCGTCAAAATACGGCTGAAAAAATGCCCGTACAGTAAGGCAGACAGAAAGACAGACAGAAAGACAGACAGATACCGTAACCCCGTCTCCCCCTCCTTTTCCGCCATTTCATTTGTGAAAATTCGTTAATTTGACATTTCTTGAAAACCAGTTTTTGAATCGTTCTGAAAATTTGGATATAAGCTTCATTTTTGATTCTCTACAACTTTTCCATTGACACCAAAATGGGTTTCTTTTGAAGAAAGTGCTCAAACTGTCACATATGACAATAACCGGCAGTTTTCAATTCACCAATCCAATACTTTTTGCGGTCATCTTTGTTTTGAAAATGCTCCCCATCAAGGGAATGATCAAAAAAGATGATTGAGAGAGCATCCGAGAGGCAGAGAATAAGGAGGGTGAGGTAAGACTTCCCAGCCCAGGCTGTGGAGTTTTGAGATTGAGTTTTGCTGTATGTGGGCGGGCATTGTCGTGAAAAAGAAAGACATTTTTCAATTCAAATCGTTTTTTCTTGATTTCTTCTTCGAGCTTTTGTAGCTGATTGCTGTATCATAAAGCATTAACGGTCTGCTTATTTTCAAGAAGTTCCCAGTAAATGACTTCTCCGAGACTTCTTCTCCCACTAAACTGATAGCATAGAATTCTTTTGGTGGGGGAACAGGGAGGACATCCTTGGCAGCTGTAACTCCAGGCCCTACGATTGACGCTTTCTTTGAAAGTTTGCCGTGAGAATCCACTTCTCGTCTCCAGTCACTAAGTGCGGCAAAAAGACTTCCGTTCATATCTCGAAAGAATCGCAGCTGAAATTGATGATCTCTGCGCTTTCATTGGGTCCGTAAAGGCATGAGGTACCCATTGAACAAAAATTGACTTAAAACCCAGCTCATGAAGGTGTCTTTCCACTGTTGAATGTGAATGCTCAATCGCATTCGCTATTTCACGAGTAGAAAACCGAGAGCTATTTTGAATTTTTTGAAGAATCTCTTCATTTTTCAATTGAGAAGGTTTTCCCGCACGTTCTTCGTCTTCAAGGGAATTCTCACCATTTCTGAACTTGACAAATCAACGTTGAAACGTGTTTTAAGAAGGAGTGTCATTGCCATACACATTTACAATATTATTCTGGATCAACAAAAGACTAGGAAGATCCTTTTTTTGAATTCATACAACATAACGTGTCTCAGATGTCATGGTGAAAGATTTGGGGTAGTCTTTGAATAAAAAAAAAAATGGAAGAAGCATTGGAGTCTCCGTATGAAATGTTTTGAAAGGGAACTAATAAGTCGACTTTTTGGATGAAAACATCACGGAGAAAGTCGAGCGCATAAACAATTATTTCGAAAGAACAAAGTTTTACCAAAACTTATGGGTCAGTCTAATAGATCAAAAGTTTATCTACCGCCTTTTATATCAATGGCTAAACTTGGAGCACAACCGGCCGGAATGTGGAAACTGTACTGATCACCATAAAGGGGTTGCTCGAAAAATGGCTGGTCATCGCTGAAAAACAAGAAAAATTGTTTTATTGCTGCTACTTGTAAAAACAAATCCTTTCTCTGAATAACTTTACTTAAACACAGCCAATTCCCTTTCTGGATGCAATGCGATGCCGGCTGGTGGCCCGGCGATCCAACGGTACTTGCAAGCTTTTGTTGATCGATCCTGTTTCGTCATAAATGAGCTTTTTTGATTTGATAAGTGTAATTTACCGAACGAAACTTCTGCAATTGCTTTATGTTCAGTTGTATTTTCACGGTCACCCATCGCTCATTCTCGGTGACACCAAGATGGGCGAGCAAGGGCCTGTTCAACCCGGCGTCGCTTGGCCACAAGTGAAACTCGGCGTTTTCTGGAATTTTTCTTTTAATTTTGAACTATTTGTTGTTTAGTTGATTTGTTTGTTTTGTTTTATTTTTTTTTTGTTTTGTTTTGTTTTGTTTTGTTTTATTTGTTTATTTGTTTGTTTTATTTTTTTGTTTAACTAGTTAGTTTGTTTGTTTGTTTGTTTGTTTATTTGTTTGTTTGTTTTGTTTTATTTGCTTGCTGACTTGCTTTTTTTGAACTAAAAACTTTACAGCATCGTCGCTTTGTCATTGATTTAGTCGAAACTTTCAAAATCCTCCGTAGTAAACAGATTAGCCCTTTGTTTATAGACTTTTTCAAATTTAAACCGCGGTCAGGGCCCAGAAGTGGCTCATTCCTTTTGCAAATTCCCTTTGCTTCCAATGCCTCTTTATCAAATTCATTTCCCGTTAGAGCCGCTAGATTATGGAACTTGCTCCCAAACGACATACGAGAAATTCAGTCGCTTTTCATATTCAAGAAACGTATCGATGCTTTAGATCTAGTGGCTCTTTGCCGTAAGTAATTGGCTTATTGATTTCAGTATGTATTGTATGATTAAGTATCACTGTGCATTTCTCTATGATTTCTTTCACTTTATCGTTTGAATAAAGTATTATTATTTGTTTGTTTTGTTTTATTTGTTTGTTTAACTAGTTAGTTAGTTAGTTAGTTAGTTAGTTAGTTTGTGTGTTTGTTTGTTTGTTTTGTTATTTGTTTGTTTAACTAGTTAGTTAGTTAGTTATTTTTAGTTTGTGTGTTTGTTTGTTTGTTTTGTTATTTGTTTGTTTAACTAGTTAGTTAGTTTGTTTGTTTGTATTTATTTTCAGATAATTACAAGTATTTTTCGATTTATCTTACAAAATTCAAGCTCAATTCCTCAAACTAACCAAATCCCGCGTCGGCAGCTAAAAATGAGACGGCGGTTTGATAGATGAACGAGATTGTTTTAATTGAGTACAGGTACATCATTTTGTCAAAAGTCAGCCGTTGTGAAGTCACCACAAAATCATCCGCTATTTCTCTGTAAAAAGCGATCAATCACTTTCTTCATATTGCACCCAACTTGACCGTCCAATTGCTCATCACCGTTGATCGACCATTGAACAAGTATGGGATAACTGATGGTTTGCAGAGCTTCTGGAATCAACTTTTTATATATTATGCTATTTAAAGTAACTAAATCAGCACGTTGACAAATCATCGAAATGTCGACGATTATTTTGCAATCATTTGAAGCGAGATTGCACTTGTTCTCTACACAAAAAGCAGAGCCCTCTGCCAAGTCTGAAATCACAGGACTTTCACGGTTCTTTTTCAATAAAATTTATAGTAAATTAAGCTTTTTTAATAAAAATCGAAGTTTCATAGCAAACCACGGAAATGGACAACAATTTGCGGGTCATCGGGCGTCAGCTGTACTTTTCGATGACATGTTACTTTTTGTGGATCGAGCACTGGTAGACTGACATCAATAATAAATCCGGATAGATCTTTTAACGGAAGCAATGGACAGAATTCAAACTGAACGCAATTGATTGATTCGAATTGATTTAAATTGATAAAATATTCGAAATTCGCCAGCTCATTCAAACTAACCTTTACACAATTAGCCCCATACACCCGAGGGCTTGTCATTTCTGCGGTTAAACTGAAAGAAAAATAATATAGACAATGGCAGGGCTGGGGAAATATCCACTCGCCCCCCCCACTCCAGGTCCTGTCCCCCACCATTCCGGATTAGAACCCCACGATTAAGGATTAGAACCCCGCCATTCCGGATTAGATCCCCGCCATTACGGATTCCGGATTAGACCCCCACCCTTTATGACTAAACAGTAAAGGGGAAATTGATACATCTAGAATGGGGGGCAAAACTGGAAACGTCATTCCACTTTTGCTCCCCTACCTTTCCAGTTCTGCCCCCCGCGTGGGTGACGATTTAAAAGTATCATTTCGTCCCCCACAACGCAAAATTGGGGAGCAAAAACCAACGGGTATTTACCCGGACCTTTTTCAATTTTACCCCCCATCTCTAGGCTTTCTCTAGGCACAAAGTAAGGTGGGGGAGAATGATCGTATCGTTTTGCCCCCCACGATAATAAGTTATCAAGATGAAAATAAAAATTCTGTGGGAGGCAGATGTGGAATCGTAAAAGCGTTCGTTGTATTTCGGCGTCCTGTGGGAGCGAATGTGGAATAGATGGGGATGGGACTAAAGTGGCAAAGCTTAGCATTCCATCTTTGTGCCCCCCATTTGGGGGAGGGGGGCAAAAGTGGAATGTGGTGGAGGGCAAAATGATCGCTGTCCTGCAGGGCTGTTTTATAACGGAAAGCTGTTATAAAAACTATTTTCCGTAGTAAGCTTTTTAAAAACAAACTGCTCTTCTTACTTGATCTTCTTAAATCTGGCAAAAAGGCAGATCGAATCGTTACTGACGCCGAGAGTTAGAGTCCCATTTTCTACTGTTTTCACTGACACTTGCAGCAAATTTTCTGGGCTCAACTGAAAAGGAATTCTTTTTTTTATCTTATTTCTGGCTTAACTGATCCAAGTTGTGGATAAAAAGTTTGACAATCGGGGAAATCAGATGGATCATCGAATGCCCATGGGAAATTGTGTGACGAAAGAAGAGTAGGAGAATAGTCAAGCTCTACCGGATAGGCTAAAATCGTACTTGCTTATTTGAAATTATGGCTCTAGGCTCTTTATTCTTATAAGGTCCCACAATCACGTTCGAGTCTAGTGTACAAACAAAAGACACAATCGTCTGTGGAGAGAATTGTGGTTGCTGTTGATCGTGAGTACAGGTATGGATAACTAAAAATTAGTCACTTTAATTATTCAAAAAAAAAACGTTTAATGATTTGAGTTTACCCTTTAAGTCCAAGCTTAATCGAATTTCTCATCAATAAACCCGGATCCGGACCGAAGAAAGCCAAATAGTTGCTAAGAGAGAAACACGTGAGGTCGGGCTGAAGCAAATCGATTCAAAAGCAACTCGCATAAGCGTACCATGTAAGTCGGGCATTTATCAACGTATCCCCATCGCGCGTATGTTGGTCGAGACCTGTTGGATTCAGGTACACTCTCACATCATCTGATTTGGCTCTGGAAGAAAAATAATTCTTTCAACGATCAGTATGCGGTGCAAAATAATCCAAAATCGTTCATGAGGTGTCAAACTTTCGAATTTTGATCTTTAAGTAGACATTTCGTGCTGTTTTTAATATAAAGATGAGGAAAATCGATTAGTTTTAAACTTTTTTCAATGGTAAAGTTGAGCTGTGGCAAAGTTTTGGCGTTTACCTTACAGGGTGTCTCAAAATTTTGGAAACTCCTTTTAAGGTAGACAAAAGTACCAAACTCCATTAATTCAAATCAATCACTAATACCAATGTTCAAAATTCCTTCTATCAACTTCCTTTATCAACTTCCTCCCTTAAGCGCTTGGGAAAGTACTTGACAATGGTCGCACACTGGACAAGGCTTTCTTCACGATGTCACAAAAATCTCAGACCAGGCTCTCTTCAAAGCGTTTTTTAAGAAAACCACTGTTTGAAATCGTTTGCCTGGAATCTTGTCTTCCAGAATTGAGCATATCGAGAAGTCTAACGGGTTCAAATGGAGCTATTCGAAGGCCAGACGTCCTTTCCCCAAAAGCCAGTTGGTAGCAAAGAGCGAGCGTTGATCGAGCTCCATGAGCTGGAGCCGAATCATGTTAAAGAGTAAAGCCATCCGGTGATTCACTGCCCACGGTTCTAAGACATCTTTCAGCTCTTTTGTTGAGTTGATCATCACGTTTCGACCCAAAAACACAAGTGGAGTCTTCCCCGTGGCGCAGATGCCCGCCCAGACCATTACGGAAGCAGGAAAATGTTGCCGCATCATCAGTTTTGCTGCAAAAGTGTTCTTGAGGCCTCGCTTAAGAAATTGGCAATGGTTTTGGCGATTGTGGATTGTTGGACGGTGAAAGTCTTCTCATCGGTAAACACAACCTTGTCCAAGCAACCATTTGCGACCAGCCGAATCATCCTTCTTGCATTAGAGCTTCCTCTTTTTTCTCATGTTGTCATTACCCGTCTGAATTTGTAGCTGCGCATTCCAAGATTCTTGTGGACAATTCTCCAGACACTGTTCGATCGTGTGGGATTAAGGCAACGATAAGGCAACGATAAGGCAACGATAAGGCAACGATAAGGCAACGATAAGGCAACGATAAGGCAACGCATTGCCGTATTCGCCGTATTTGCAACGGGCTTCGTGTTTTCCGGCGTGACGGCGGTCGATGGACGGCCACTCTTGGATGGTCCTTATCATCTCCCAATGCCTTGTATCGATTAATAGCCTTCCAGACGATAGATTTGACGTAACCGGTCGTTCTAACAATGTCCATTAAGCTCTTTCCCTGCTTGTGTAGCTCCAAGACTACGGTCCTCTTATTCTTGCGATCCATCCTTCAAATCAGTGACTAAAAAAACTTTAGCTAGTTTTTTTGAATCAAAATAAGTTCGAATAATTAATAAGCAAATGCAGAAAGCTAGAATGCAAAAAGAATTGCACAAATTACACAAAAATAAACCAATTTTGAAAAGTTTCCAAACTTTTGGGACACCATGTACATCGTGTGGAGGCGTGTACAAATTGCTGCTCTTAAAAACTAACAAAAATCAAATTCTAGTTTAAAATTATTATTTAACTACATTTGAGCCAAAAGCGCAATGATTTTCGCTAAAAGATGACGTGATGGCCGTCCCTTAAACTTAGGGTGAACCAACTGGTTTAATCGATTAGTAAGCACAACCAACTTGCGATTCAATGGACTGGTCACTACGGTGATCATGACATTGCGTCGAACCAGCACTTTGTCGATCTCGTCGTAGCCTGTGGCATCGAATGGAAGAACGAGAACGGATAGAGAGACTAAAGATCTTTGCTTTTCACAGATTCCAGCTCACCATTCACCCATTTTTTCACTCGAAACGAGACAGCGTACTCATAAAGACTGCTGTCATTTGCGTCGAGTGAGCGAACGATGAGCTGCTTTTGATTCTTGATTTCTGATGTACAAGGATACAAAGTCTGTGAGTACTCATCGTCGAACTCTTGTGCAATTGGACTAAAGTATTCATTAGTTAGGTATTCATAAAATTTCTCTTGCAATAGATCACAGTTATCCCTCGCTGGTGGCTGTCCGTTGATTGTAAACAACGGTTGATCAAAACATCGAACGATTTGGCTCGAATTTAGGTGACTAGCCTAAAAGAAAAGAAATATGGTTTTTTTTTTTTTTAAATTACCGTAAATACTGTAATTGAAGCCCCCTTTAATAGAAGCCTAACTATTAGGTTGGCAAGTTATAAACGATCGTTTTTGGGTAATGTGTTTTCTGAAAAAACGGTTTATCCAATCAAAAAAAACGGTTTGCTTCATTCAAAAGCCCTATTCTTAATCTACAAAATGACTTTTTTGAATTAAAAAATACCGACTGGGGCTACCCGTGGTGAATTTATCGCATACACGAAATATATCAATCACAATACAACGACACACACAATACTAGGCTATATCTTAACTTAACCCACGTCATGACAGACGGCTCCCTAACCCTAAGCTCAATGGGGAACTAAATAGCTTTTTTGGTGGTGAAGGGAAGATGACGATGAAGGAGTGGCTTGTCACTTTAAAGAACTGGGGCCACAACCACCAGACTGCCCTCCAGAAAACCTCTCAACCCGAAGGGAAAGGAAATCCGAAGGGGGTGACCATGTCGCATGTGGGGTTCGAACCCTCGACCTTCCGATTAAGATAAGAGACACTTAACCAGTCAGCCAACCTTTGAAAAATGTTTTATTTTAGAACTTTTTGCAGGCATTTTAATGTAAGAGTTCAAAATCTATTTTTGTAATGTTTTTGTAATGTAAGAGTTCAAAATCTATCTATTTCAAAAGCTATTTTTGAGTGATCGCATACTTTTTAAAATAAAACGCTTCATCGATTACATAGTTTGCCAAAATTTCAGAAAAATCCAATCTTCGGAAGGTTGATTTTCAAATTAGGCTCAAAATGCACTTTTGTATGTTTTTGTTTTTTCTATAATTTAATCCATTTTCGTTTGAATTTCAGCAAGATTAAAAAAAAAAGATTCAAAGAAAGAGAACGGTTCGATCATTTTGTAGATTAAGGATAGGGCTTTTGAATGAAGCAAACCGTTTTTTTGATTGGATAAGCCGTTTTTTCAGAAAACACATTACCAAAAAACGATCGTTTACAACTCGCCAACCCAATATACTGAATAAAATTGGTTTTGTGCGAGGACCATACCCGCTCCAATCTTTTATCCGGGCGGAGATCCTTCCTCCTCTAATCACAGTCAATTGTCTAATCACAGTCGACATCTGATATCTGATCACAATCGACATTTGATATCTGATCACAATCGACAAACCTTTTCCCAAATTGACGACAAATCTTTCCCCAATCTGACCAATCAACTTTAATCAACCAAAACAATAATTTTATTCGATTTACAAGAAGTGTATCTCTTTCATATGAATGAAAAAGGGATACAAAATTCTGATTCAAAATTTCAAATTCAAAAACACTTAAATAAAGCAAACAACATTAAAGATATTCAGTAAACGGGCTAAATGCTCTACGCGAAAATTGGCAATACAAAAGGTAATTGATTGTTTAGATCCCAAATTTGAATTTGCTGTCGAATATTCGGCACACTAATAGAAGCCGCCCCCCCCCCCCCCCCCCCTTGGAAGAGGAGGAAAAAAAATAGTAGCCTCCCGTCTAATAGAAACCCGCCCAAATTTGCATTTATTTTGCTCACAATTTACATCATTTTACTTTTTGCTTTTTGCTCACAATTTACTTTTTGCATATCTTCTGTACACTTCTTGCTCATTTCATTTTAATATTTTCTTACGTTTCTTTATTTTTTTTACACTTTTTTGTTGAGAAATTGTAAATCATTGAACTTTTCAATGCTTTACAGTTTCTCAATATGTTTCGAACTGTTTTTTTTCTTTTTAGGTAGAATGGACAATTTTGACGACGGATTGGAGGAGTTCCGGTGAAAGCGAGGAACTTCAGCGAGTTCTCTTTCAAGAAGACGATTTGAATGGTGTCTTGGTTTGAAAGCGATGTGGATGCAAATTCGATTGCAAGCACGGAGTTGAAGAAGAAAACAAAATGGAAAACGATCGGGCATCAAGAGAAACTCGATTTTGTGAAAATGGCTTGATCGACTTCTATTCACTCGGCTGCAAATTTCTTCAAGATTGATCGACCTTGTTTGCGAGTGGTGACAATCCAAAGCCTCCTTCAATGAACATCTAATTAAGCTGGATTATGAATGCTTGGAATACACTCAACGGGAAACCATCCTAAAACTTTTCAAAATATGTGGAATCAGAATCGCTTCAAATGGAGATGAAAATCACTTGATCCACTGTTTCAAACGGTTTGATCTCTACAGAAATGCATGCTGAAGGATGGTTGCATGGAAAGCAACGACGATCTTCTAGAACCCTTCGAATCGATAAGATTTCAGGATTCTCGCAAAGAAAATGATCCAGAAAAAGCCGATAATTTCGTTAACTCCGATGCTTCGATGACTTTGATGTTGATTTTGATTATTTTCAATTTATTTTTGCTAAATGTTGGTGGTTATTAGCACTTGTTTTTAATATTTCTATTGTTTTTTTGAATAAAATAGAAAGAAAATTAGTTTATTGAACGAATCTCTCTGTCAGTATATTCAATTTTGGTAACTTGAAATTTTTCAAAAGAACAGGTGGAAATTAGAAGCCCCTCCCCCTTTAATAGAAGTCCCCTTTAATAGAAGTCCCCTTTAATAGAAGTCCCCTTTAATAGAAGTCTCCTTTAATAGAAGTCCCCTTTAATAGAAGTCCCCTTTAATAGAAGTCTAATAGAAGCAAAGATGTCAATCCGATAGGGAATTTATGCCGAATACTTGTCCGAGCTGTCTACAAGAATCATCGTCAGTTTCAAGACGTATATTTGTACCTAAGACAGCGTGATGATGCCCGTTTGAGGATTGGCGACTCAATAAGGGAAATCGCAAATCGAGCCGGAGACACCCGAGACTGGCTGAACAACAACAACATTGCAACTTTGGACTGACCCGCTCGATCTCCTGACGTCAATCCGATAGGGAATTTATGCCGAATACTTGTCCGAGCTGCCTACAAAAACCATCGTCAGTTTCAAGACGTATATTTATAATTAAAACAGCGATCCGTTTGACCTGAAGCTATGTCGACGTCTTTGCTTTTCAAAACCTCATCAATTCAATGCCAGACCGCATTTTTCAAGTAATTAATCGTTCTGGTGCGTGTACAGAATATTAGTTTTGATTTTTAACCTTTGATTGTTAATTGTGTCGATAAATAAAGATATTTTCATAGTGTGTTTAAGAATTTGAAACGGTTGATTTAGCAAATTTTGAAGCAAAAAGCAAAAAGTTTCTATTTTGAAAATTTTTACTTTTTACAGTATGCTTATTTTTCGTGTTTTTTAGGTTTTAAGACATGCTCTTTCTAATAGAAAAAGATTAATATTGGGTTGATGAATTGAAAACTGCCGGCTATTGTCATATGTGACAGTTTGAGCACTTTCTTCAAAAGAAACCCATTTTGGTGTCAATGGAAAAGTTGTAGAGAATCAAAAATTAAGCTTATAGCCAAATTTTCAGAACGATTCAAAAACTGGTTTTCAAGCAATGCCAAATTTACGAATTTTCACAAAACTTGCAAAAAAACTTGCTTTTTAAACGAAGCTACTAAGTGTATCTTTTTGGAAATTTGGCTATAAGCCTCATTTTTGATTCTCTACAACTTTTCCATTGACACCAAAATGGGTTTCTTTTGAAGAAAGTGCTCAAATGCTCAAACTGGGCTCTCGACATCTCCAGTCCTCCATTTTTGAGTCTCACACTTGTCTCACACACAAACCAAAATCCTACTACGAAAGAGGAATCCGCAAATTGCCTGTAAAATGGGCAGAAGTCGTCAATAATAATGGAAATTATTTGAAATGATTTGGTGGTTTTACGTTGAATAAATTAAAGGGGACTTCTATTAAAGGGGACTACGTTGAATAAATTTTAGTTCAAAGTCCGGCAGTTTTCAATTCACCAACCCAATAGTTGTAGCGGTGTTCAAAATGCAAAATTCGCTATTTTAGAGGGTGCGTTTAAGAATTTGAAACGCACTGTAGAAGTCCCCTCTGATAGGGGAGGAAAAAAATAGTAGCCTCGGGGCTTCAATTACAGTAGCAGTAGTTATGGTCAGTTATTAATTTTAATTAATATTAATATTATTTTAATTAATATTAATATTATTTTAATTAATATTAATATTATTTTAATTAATATTAATATTATTTTAATTAATAATTAATCCCACAAACTAATTAAGCTAAAGTTATCACCGAATCATGTCCCACTGGCTTGCCCGTACAGTTTCGATGAGAGAAATCAACAAGGAAATCGCATAAATGACAGCCGACCAAAGCAATTTGCTTAAAATGCACCTTTTTTTATAGTTTTCTCTTATCTTTTACTCCTAATTGCTTCAAATGTAAACCATGAATGGCAAAAGACGGATTCTCAGGGGATAAAACAAAACGTTTCTTTGGTAGGTGTCCGCTAGAAATTGACACAAGAAATGTCAAAAATATCAATAGAATCATAAAGAGTTCAACTGGTTTACTCCGTTTTCGAAAATGACTATTCATGTTCAAAAACAATATCATTTCTTTCTTTGACGTAAAGCTTTACCCTAGAAAAACGTTAATACATTGTTATCAAAGAAAACTGTCCATGCTTAGCCACTGGCTTAACGTCGAGATGGAGAGAAAATGATTACTCACAAGAACATCAGAGAACATCAAACTCACAAATTACTAGGGAACGTTGTTAAATCAAGTTTGCGTTTTCACATAAGCCCTGACTCATCTGATAGAGTTTTCATCGGGGATTCTGAAATTGCTGTTAGTTTCTGTAACGTTTCTGTAACGTGAGATATTTGGTTTTATATTATTAGGGTGAACCAAAAGTTTTCTATTTTTTTTATTAAAACTTTCAACATAAATAAAACAACAATGAACGAACTCTAAGTTTTCAAATAAAGACCATTCGAATCTATGACTTGAAGCCATCTATCGGCAAGTTGGTCGATCCCGCCACTCCTTGTTCTTAGAGGCGAAAAACTCGCAGCACCCTTTTTCGACTTCGCCCAGATTGCTGGAGGCTCGTCCGCGAAGGAAGTGTGCCATGGAGCGGAAAAGATGATAATCGGATGGGGCAAGGTCCGGACTGTACGCTGGATGTTGATCTTTTCCTTGGTTTTTCTAGCGGTGTGAGGTTTTACATTGTCCTGCTGAAGGACTATGCGCTTTCGATTGACCAAAGCGGGATATTTTTCACTAAGCGGCGCATACATCCGGTCAAGTTAGGCGCAGTAGAGGTTTGCGTCGATGGTCCGACGATTTGGAACCAGTTCCAAGTGAATAATGCCTTCGAAATTCCACCAAACACCCAATAATGCCTTCCTT